TGTTTCTGCTTTAGATAATCAATGATCTTGTATATTTGCCTTCACTTTTGCCATTTCTGTGTTTCTCTGTGTGGGTCTAAGCTTCTGACTGGCATCATATTCCCACTGCCTAAAGAACTTCCTTTAATATTTTTTGTATTACAGGTCTGATGGTAATGAAATCTCCCAGTTTCTGTTTATCCTAAAAAGTCTTTATTTCTCCTCGGTTTTTTAAAGATATTTTCACTGGGTATAGAAGTCTCATCAGACAGGTGTTAACTTTTCAGTATTTGAAGATTCCACTTTGTTGTCAGCATTACATAATTTCTAAGGCTGTCATTTTTGTCCTTGTTCTCTATATGAAATATGTCCTTTTCCCCTCTAGTGACCTTCATGATTTTTCCTTTATCTTTTATTTTCAGCAATTGGACTGATGTGTCTGACTGACATTTGGTTGTTTATAGTTTATCTTGCTCGAAGTTCTCCAAGCTTCTGGGATATGTGGTTTCATACATTTCATTATTTTGAGATAATTCTTGAACATTGTCTCTCCGGGTATTTCTCCTGCCCCATCTCCTCTCTTCTTATGTAACTCCAATCAGTTGTTTTATACTGTCCCCCAGCCCTTAGACTCTGTTCTTTCTTTTCCACTCTTTTTTTTTTTCTTTGTGTTTGGATCATTTATACTGATGTATCTTTAAGCCCACTGATGCTTTTCTTAGCTGTGTGAAGTCTAGTGATGAGCCCATCCAAGGAATTCTGTGTTTCTTATATTGTGGTTTTTCTTACCGAGGGTTTCTATTTGACTGAAATCCCATGTCTTTGGTGAAATTCCCTAACTTTTGATACCTGTAGCTCACTTGTTCCACTGGGCAGAATGCAAGAGAGACTGAGGTCAGTAGTGTCTTTGTGTGAAAATGGGCATACCTCTCTGTCAGGCTGTACATGTGGAAGGTTGAGTCAGTGTAGTCAAGAGTTAGCGGAGTTTACATCTTGTTTGAGGGGACTTCAGCTCCCTATAGAGGAGGGCTACACTGCCTCATGCTCAGGGTAGTGGCAGGGGAGGGTGGGGGGGGTCAGAGAATGTTATGTGGTGTAGGTGCTCCGTCCTCAGTTCTCCCTGCACACGTGAAGCATGAAGGAGGTCTCTCACTAAGCTCCTATCTGACCTCAGCAGCTTACTACTCTTGCTTGTTACTCTATGCTAGGCTTGTGCTGGGACTGAGGGTTCTTTCGTTCTGGATCAGCCACAGTCTTAGATGTGTGCCTAGACCTCAGGGTTGGGTCTTTCTTTTTCTTTCTTTCTTTCTTTCTTTCTTTCTTTCTTTCTTTCTTTCTTTCTTTTCTTTCTTTTCTTTCTTTTCTTTCTTTCCTTTCTTTTCTTTCCTTTCTTTCCTTTCTTTCCTTTCCTTTCTTTCCTTTCTTTTCTTTCTTTTCTTTCTTTCTTTCTTTTTCTTTCTTTCTTTCTTTCACGATTTTTATTTATTTATTTGACAGAGAGAGAGACAGTGAGAGAAGGAACACAAGCAGGGGGAGTGGGAGAGGGAGAAACAGGCTTCCCGAGGAGCAGGGAGCCCAATGCAGGGCTCGATCCCAGGACCCCCGGATCATGACCTGAGCCGAAGGCAGGCGCTTAACGACTGAGCCACCCAGGCGCCCCAGGGTTGGGTCTTTCTTAACATTCCCACCTTTTCGACTATGGCAATCAACCTCTGCATTTTATCTGTGGTTTTAGAGTTGAAGGCTTTTCATATATACTGCCAAATTGCATCCCAGAAAGCATGTGTAAGTTTACATTTCACGAGCAGCAAATGAGGGTTCTCTTAAGCATGCATTTTCATCTCTAACATCACTGGGCTCTTTTGATATGCTGGGATTCCATATTTTTGTTGTGGACTTATACAATGGAAGTATAGCACTGGGTCATGTGCATAGTAGGACATAAAACATTTTTATTGGTTAACCAATGAAGCAGAATATAAATGTGCCATTGAGTGGTCTAGGGGTACCACTTTCATTTTGATTTGTTCCTAATTGACAGAAGCAGTCACTACCAGATTCAGGAACACAGAAGTATGTATTTCATTCAGAAGCTCCATTTGACAGAGAGGAGAAGCAATAGTTGTTTCTAGACCACTGCCCAAGAGTCTAGGAAACTGAATTCTCATCCCGATTCTGCCTCTAATTCACTGTCTTTTAATATACAAATTACTGACCAGTTCTATTCCCCCGTTTATCTGTCAAATAGGATTAGTGATTTAGTTCAATAGAGGGTGGTGAAGATAAAATGAAATTATGTAAGTGTGAGCCCTTTACAACACTTTTTAAGTGCTACAGAAATATAAAGTATTCCTCTAGGGTCAGAGAGGTGTAGAAAAACGTGGGAGTTAGAATTTCAAGGCAACTTTTGACATCTATGTATCACTGTATGAGAGAATACATGAATATGGAAGAGAGCAAAATTAGAAGTGGAGTCTTTCTCTCACTAAAATTAGCCTACTTGTAATGGAGGTTAATTAAGTCCTTCTCAACCAGGCAAGGGCACAGTTTTAAAGGGAAATCACATGTAAGCCCTGACTCCCGCCGGGGAGGGATGAGATCTTTGCACCATCTCCCATTCTGGGCTCAGTAAGCTTCCTTTAGACCATGTTTCCTACAGACCTAACCTGCCTCTCCACCTGCTGTCTCAGGTCTAGAATTCACCCACTGTGCTGCTTGGGTCTGCACTCGGACAATGGAGACAAGCAAGACAGTTAAAAAGTCATCAGGAATTTTGTTTCCTTCTGCCAGCTTTCATTCACACCAAAAATAGTCCACACCAAAGGGGACCAAAGCATACACAATGCACAGCATAGAGTTCTACTTCCTCTTTTGTAAACTGTTACACATAGTTGAAACCTTCAGCTGTAGCCTGGTAGATCTAGAGCAGGGTCAGCAAACTACCATCCCCAGGCCAAATCCGGCCCACCGCCTGTTTTTGTAAATAAAGTTTTATTGAAACACAACCATTCCCATTTCTTTACATATTTCATATGGCTGCTTTAGCCCTACAATGGCAGAACTGAATAGTTGCAATAGAACTTGTATGTCTTGCAAAGCTGAAAATATTTGCTCTCTGGCCCTATGCAGAAAAAGTTTGTCTACCCTGGTCTAGAGCCATGATACTCATCCTGTGTACTCCCCACCAGCATTACTGAAGCAAATTTGGTTTCCTGAGGTCTTTCTTCTGCTTTCATGTAATGAATCAATTGATACTTTGGCACCTAAGAATGATGAGGGCAAGAGCTGTTCAGATAGGAGAATGTAATGCTAGGAGCATTATAGTTTATAATATTTAGAAAAGTTTATAGAAAATACAGGGCAAAAGAACATATCCAATAACACTCCATGAGGATGAAAGCAGCTAAATCTAGAGGTTAGAAAAGTCTACACAATGAATTACTCAGTTTTTTCAATAAATAAATAGTCATGGAAAAAAGAACGCGGAGTTGAGCTCCTACAGAGATTAAGAGACGTAAGGGACATTTCAAACTAATTCAGGTGTGGCTCTTCTAATTTGAACAACTCTGCTGAGCTAACTGGACATAATGGGAGAATTTGAACACTGACAGGGTCTTGGTGTTATGAAGGAATTATTTTTAGTTTGTTAAATATGATAATGGTGTTGTGATGACTTGTTTAAAAAAATCCTTATCTGTTAGAGTTAAATTGCAGTATTTGTGGGTGAAATAATATGCCTAGGATTTTTCTCTTCCTTCTCTTAAATTTCTGCACACACACACACACACACAAAAAAAAATAGCAGGGAGCATAGAAGAAATAAAATCACCAAAAGGTTGATAAGTATTGAACCATAGTGATAAGTACATGAAGCTCATGCCTTTCTTTCAAACTGTGTATCTGTTTGAAAATTTTCATCATAAGTTGTTTTCTAAAAAACCCAAGCTGAGTCATACTTTAATTTGAATCCTGGTTTTGCCAGCTATTTGTGTTTTGGTAAAATAGACATTATAAGTCAGATTGTTTATGGCATTGTGAGGATTATGAGAATTAAATGAGACAGTAAAGAGTTAAGCACAGCGCCTAATACAAGGGAATGATCAGTACCTGGGAGCTGTGACATTGTATCTGCTATCAAATGACAAGAACATAACCCCTCACAAGCTGAGATTATGCATCCTATAATTGACTTATGTGAACACTGGACCTTAAATCCATATTGTTGCTACACAGGAGTAAGGAGCCAAAATAGATAATGTTTTCACTGTATACACACACTTCCCTGACAGTCTGGAAACAGCCATAGTGCCTGTAAGATGCATGGAGGGAAGACCTGTAGTATTGAGGGGTCATGACTGGAATTTCAGATTGTCCTAACAAGATGTGTATTCCTCAATGGGAATTTCAAAAACAGTTTTCTGTGACATTCCTAATAAATGCCTGTGAACATATTTTAAAAGCCCCACGTGCATGGGCAGTCCTGTGACTTTGGTACTGACCAGTTTCCTACTTGGAGTTGCTGTTGTCTCTCCTTGATATCTTGTGCTCAAATGAACCCAAAGATGGCTCTGAGTAACATGATACTCCTTTCACTGAGTCTCAGCCAATGTAATCAGCCACTTAGTCAACCACTCATTACCCAATAGGCATCGTGCAAGCTTGTAAGACAACACGTTGACTTAACGCTGCAGGATTTTAGAGCAAAAAAAATAAAAATAAAAATAAAGCCGTCTCATCACCAGTCACTTCAGTCAAATGAAATAAAGTTGGACCCACCTCCACAGACTGTGTTCCTTAAAATTCATCCCTTTTTGGGAGGGATGAGTAAAATTACTGTCAGAAATGTTGGGATGTAAATTTACTGAGTAAAATTACACTCAGAAATGTTGGGAAGTATTCTGTTCACAACGGCTGTTAAAAAGAAAATTAAAAAGTGAGAACATGTTGGGGGAAGTTGAGGAAGCGCTGTTTTGGTTGAACTAAAGATACCGAAACTGTACTTCTTTTCTGTTCTCCTACAGAATGACATCACGCCTTTACACGTTGCATCAAAAAGAGGAAATGCCAATATGGTAAAACTATTGCTTGACCGAGGAGCTAAAATTGATGCCAAAACGAGGGTAAGAGTGCAATTTGTGTACATGCTTATACTTCTTCTCAGGAAGTAAGAATTCTTCTGATACCTTCACACGGGCTCAACGCTGGCTTTACTTTTCCTTCATTTGTTGTAGTCTCTGAGAAAATGACTGCTAAAGTTATTTGTCCTAAAATGGGATGCTGATCCAAATTTATAAATCTGCAATTCAGTCACTGCTTGACACTGCAGTCTGGGCTGTTTGGTCAGTTTGACATTAAACCGACAGTTATTCTATTTAAAAACAAATCTGTCTACTTTTGCACACTGCTGGTGGAAATGGAAAATGGGGCAGCTACTATGGAAGAACGTATGGAGGTTCCTCAGAAAGTGACAAATAGAACCACCCTACCATCCAGCAGTTCCTCTACCGGGTATTTACCCAAAAGTATTGAAAGCAGTATCGTGAAGCAATATTTGCCCACTCGTGTTCAATTGCAGCATTATTCGCAATAGCTAAGAGGTGGAAGCAAGCCAAGTGTCCATCGACAGAGGAATAAAGAAAATGTTATGTATACATGTGATGGAGTATTATTCAGCCTTAAAAAGGATGGAATGCTGTCCTATCCTACAACAGGAATGAATCTTCAGGACATCATCCTGAGTGAAAGAGGCCAGTCACAAAAGTATAATACTATATGATCCCACTATTCTAAGGGGTATCTAGAGTGGTCAAAATCATAGAAGTGGAAGCAGAATGGTGCTTGCCTGGGGCTTTGGGGACAGAGAAATGAAGAGTGTTGTTTAATAGGTATAGAGTTTGAATTTTACAAGATGAAAAATTTCTAGAGATGTTACATAACATGTGAATACAGTTAACATTACAGAAATGTGTACTTAAAATGGTTAAGGGGGTACATTTTATATTGTATGGTTTTTTCCCACAATTTAGAAATTAAAAAAAAAAACCAACTACAAATTCTGTTTGGCTAGGTGTTTGGCATGCTGCTTGATTTGGTGAAATGCACTGTGGGTAGGGGAAGGAACTGAGTCCCAGAAGCAAGTTCGAATCCCAGATGCTAACCTTAGCCAGTTGACTTCAGTAAGCTGTTTAATCTTCTGCATGTAATTTCTCTATCTGAAATTAAAGAAAATTAATGGCCACCTTGAAGGGTTGTTGCTCAACAACATGATCATGTTAATGTGTGTAAACTGTGTTGGCATAAAGTCGGCCGGAAATAAGTCCCAGTCATTGCTGATAACTTCAGAGGTCCAATTAGCACTAAACTTCTGACCAAGGGATTATCGTTTTCAACATTTCATGTATTTGTTATAAGGTGTGAGTGAGAGTGGGTAACAAAGGCTAGTAACAAGGTGATCTCACTATACATAGCCCTCTATCTAAGAGTCTTGGATAGTTTGTAGCCCCCGCAATCCTGGGCTTCCTCCGTGCAAGAATCCTGATCTTAGTGTTTCCATAACTGGCCTGGTAACCTGAATTTGATTCCTGCAGCTCCTTGATTTACTACTTTATTTATTGTTCACTGCATTGATTCACTCAACCAATATTGAGGGTGCCTGTTGTGGGGCAGACACGACGAGGAGATAGAGCAAGACTGCAAGACACTGTCCCTCCCCTCGTGAAGCCGATGGGCAGTGTGTCCCCTGTACTCTGACCGGAAGACGGCCCCGCCATAGGTACTTAGCAGGAGATCCACACTGCTTTTTCCTGAAAGCTATGTCTGTACCTTAAAAGAAACAAGCTTTCTAGAGAGGAGGAGTGAAGAATGATGAAGTTTGACCCCCTAGAGGACTGTCTGGCTGGGCAGGTAAATTGAACAGAGCTCTTTTTGAATTGGCTTTGCATTATTTAATAAGAAGCCATAACCATATGCTAGAGCTGCTGCTTTAAATGGCAGAGGTCTTCCGCTAATATAGGCTATTTAAAGAGGTTGTAAGGAATAAGACAGAATCAGTGCTTATGCCTCTTGATTACCATGTAGAGCTAAAGGATCATTTGTGACTAGGGAGAATTTTTATGAAAAGAATGAGGAATCCTGGAGCCAAGCAGGAAAGAGGAGATTGAAGGGATATACCTGGATATCTGGCTAGGGTTTCAGTGGCTAAGTGGATTAGAAATTACCTTATTTCTCCCTTGATAAAATCATGAATCACAGGCAAAATTCCTTTTTCATCATTTTGCATCATTTATCAAACACTTACTTGCTGTATTTGATACACTGACTGGATGAAAAGAGTATCTGGGGGACTCAGGCCCCAGGTTTATGGGGCATATAGCGACACCAGGGTTAAAACATAAAAATCTTCTGGATAAAAGTATCCGAGATAGGGAATAATGTAGTAGGCAACTTGGCACACTGTGCAAATTCAGGATGCAACTTGGTTTCTCTGCCATTTTGCCTCCCTGTTCTGACAGGCTCTCTGGTTTGGAATAAGATGCGGACTCCTTTTTCCCATCCATTCAGTTGTAGCTGGGATTTTCTTCTCTCCTGTGCTATGTGACTGGCGTGTGAACGTGAAGGAGACAGAAACAGAGACCAGAGAAGCCTGTCCTGCTTCTGTTGTTGTCCCGTAGGGAGTGGGGGGAGGGTGGGATGTGAGTCAGGCACAGGCTGAATTCCTGGCAGGCCGTATTGAAGAAAGTGTAGTACATACCCCAGATATGTAAACTATGCTGTGTTCTTCTCATCAAAGCTTCCCTTCTGTCTGGCTGAAATGACTGAGTAGTGGTCGGGTGTGTGGGTGAAAGGGAAGGAGGCAGCTGAAATGTCAGAAAGCCCTGGGGACAAGCCTAAAAACACAAAATTGTTCATGAATACAAGTTTTAACTACTCAATCCAGTAGCTCTTGGGAAAATAAATGTTGTTATCTACTGATCCACCTCCTACCAGGTACTCATTACTGTTATGGCTACCTTGTTGCATCAATAGTCTTCCCTGTTACATGCAGTCCCCCATGTTTAGAGACAGGAAAACATCCCTGGATTTCACTTCAGGGGCCAGCACTCCGTGGGACCTGGTCAGCTCCCTCTGTTCCCTTGCATGGGCTGCTGACCTAGTACAGGACTCAGGTTCAAAGCAGACTCTTAGAGCCCTTTAATTCAAGCAAGAAAACCTGAATTATGCTAGAGTAGTTTAGCTAGGACCTGAGCAAGATCTTACCAGCTGGAAAAGCAAATGAGAGTGCATTTTATTTTACCTCAGTGACCTGATCTCGAGTCTTAAGTGTGACTTGCAAGTAAAATTGTGATCTTGGGCAAGTTCACCCTCCTGAGTCTTAGTTTCTGTCCCAGCACAGATGGGGAGTTGTTCCAGATGGTTTTACAAGCTCTCCCATTTGGAGGGGCACTGGATATTGTTAACTAAGAATAATTAGTTACTGTAAAATTCAAGATGGTTATATAAGTTAGGTTGACGTTACCAAGATATAAAGTAAGAGACCTCAGCTTCCATCCCCCCAACGAAGATTGTTAGGCAGCTATCCACAAAGAAAAGCAGAGAGCTTAGGAGTCTACTTAAGAATCTTCAGTGACTGGGGGTGGGGGCGGGGGTAGGGCAGAACCCTGAGAATAATTGCGGAAGAAGGGAAGGAAGACGAGCTTCATTTTGCCTGCATCATCCGATGCCGGCCTGGGAATGCCTCAGCCTGAAAGAATTTCCCTCACCAGGAGAGGGAGAGTAGGGTGAGTGGCCGGCTTCCCTAGCCTGCAGGACACCGCGGGAGGGAGCCCACCCAGAGACTGGCAGAGCTGCGATGACTAGAGAGAGGAAGGAGCAAAGAAACGTAGGTGCTACTCGTATCAGGCCGCGGCGGGCCGCCTGCAGATTTCACTGGGTTCTGCCCCGCGGCTATTCACATTCACAGACCCCAGACTCCTGAGTCCTCCCTTCCCTGCTCCCTGCTTCCTGCCCACACCCCACCCCCACCTACCTCCACCCCCTGCTGCTAGAGCCAAGGGTCCACACCAGCAGCCAGCCAGTACAAGATGGCAGCCACGAACCCCGTGCGGACCCCCACCTCCATGTGCACACTTGGGCCTAACGCCTCCGCACACTGGCCTGATCCTCATCACCTTCACTGCTGTCCACGTACCTGTGGCACATCGCAACAAGCCAGGCCCTCACAGCGGTTTGTGGGTCTGAATTTGGCTCTGCTCCAGTCACTGGCCTTCACCCCTTGGCACATGTGTAGGGAACCGTCTAGTGGTGCACCTGTATGCCCCAACCAGACCCTCATTAGTGGCCTCCGAGGCTAGGCCCACACCCCTGGGGAGACCCTGCAGCCTCAGTAAGACACACGGACAGCCATGGTCCCCACAGCTGCTGGTGCACCTGCAGCTGGCCCTGGCCCCCGCCACTCTGTGTATGTTTGCAACCAGGCCCCACCACTGCATAGACCCGCAGCTGGCCCCTGCTGCTGTGTGCACACCACCAGCTCCGGCCACCGCTACTGCGCGCCCCAGCCCCTAGCCACTGGCCCTGGAGGTGCCGCGGACGACTCCAACAACCCTTGTAGCCACGGCGGACCCCCCACAGTGCTCACCAAGAACCACGCAGTTGTCAATGTTGTGGAGCTGAGTGGCCTGAGCGGATGAGACATCATATACCCCTGGGACGCACCCCCGCATTTGGACACACATAAATGGCTGCCACCTTGTACCGGGGCTTACCGTACACTCCAGCATGCCCCCACCCACGGGTGAAGGTCTTTCCATAGCTAGGTCAACTCATCAAATCTGCTAGAGGTGACTGCTTCTTTAAATGTGCAGACATCTATATGCAAGACTACAGGGATCTTGAAGAATCAGGGCAACCCAATACCACCAAAGGAACACAGGAAACTTCCAGTAAGTGATCCTAAAGAAATGACGATGTCAGAATTGCCTGACAAAGGAGTCAAAATAATTGTTCTAAAGATGCTCAGAGAGCTATAAGAAAACATAGTAAAACAATTTAATGAAATTAGGGGAAAAATACAAGAACAAAATGAAAAGTTCAACAGAGATAGAAAATATAAAAAGAGAAC